ATACAAAAGCAATACTACATGCCTTCAGTGGTTTTGTTGTGTTTCGTTATGCCGACTGTCGTTCCCACGTATTTCTGGTCGGAAAGCCTGTGGAATGCATTCTTCGTGTGCGTTATGTTCCGGTATATATCGGCCCTAAACGCCACGTGGTTAGTCAACTCGGCCGCACACATGTGGGGCTATAAGCCGTACGACGTGAACATCGCTCCCGTCGAGAATATGTCGGTCGCCGCTCTCACACTTGGTTTGGCACACATTTGTTTCATAGAGTTATTGCAATCATTATTAATTGATTTGTGTATTACTTGATAATAGGCGAGGGATATCATAATTTTCACCACACTTTCCCCTGGGATTACTCGACCAGCGAATGGGGTTGGAATATAAATTTGACCACGTTCATTTTGGACCAATTGGCAAAGATTGGTTGGGTTTACGACAGACGTTACGCCACCAGAGATCTGATTGAGAAGCGAAAGGCCAGAACCGGACCCAAAGCCGAAAAATATATCCCTCAAGAACTCGGCTATTAATCATTGAAACAATTATTGTTTACTTTCTAAACAATATTTGAAAATTAGTTCTTTAATAGTATTTAATTTAATTATTTTCACTTTTTTATTGGTATTTTTATTGCACTGACTTTCCAAATGATTATAAAATATTTTTGTCTAAATGTGATAATAAGTTGATAAATAAGTTATATTTTTTCTTTAATAGTATTTAATTTAATTATTTTCACTTTTTTATTGGTATTTTTATTGCACTGACTTTCCAAATGATTATAAAATATTTTTGTCTAAATGTGATAATAAGTTGATAAATAAGTTATATTTTTAAAAAATTCTTTTATTTTCATATTTTTGCCTAAATATAAATCCAATTTATAATCAATTGTTGTGTTTTAAAATTGTTATATATATTTAAAAAATTATACTGTTTATGATAAGAAATCCCTTTGCAAAAGAGCATGATCGGATATTAACTGAATCGGATATTATCTTAATTAATAAATTTAAAATTACTTAAATATTGTTACTAACTTATGTTATTTGAATATTAATTTCTTACAACACCTTGTTATCGACCATTTTAATTGATTTGAACAATTTTCATTTCACAAATTACTGTAAATTTTGTTTTTATTGAAATAATTTTAAAACTGGAATTAATGTGGAAATGTTAAGACATCACCAATGGTTAGGTCTCTATTAAAGTTCTGTATAAATTAAAAATGTGGGAAATAATTATAGTACTAATGAAAGTTAAGAATTAATTAAAGAATTTTTTTAAACCAAACAGAATAACAGTTTATGTCAATTAATTAACTGTTTTTTAATACAAAAATAATTAAACATTTTAAACAGAAACTGAAAGCTTGTTTTGCGTCAATTTATTGGTGACTTCGAGTGTTTTGATGAAAAACCAGTTTTAAAAAACAGAGACTAGTATTTGGAGAATGATTTCTATCAAACCTCATACGGAATATACAGTAACTGCTGTATGTTTAGTCAACACGAATACCAATACATTTGTTAAATGGGATTATTGTTCACAATTAAGTGCAACTCGTAATTAAATTTTGATTAAATTTGACTTTTATTTGATAAAAATTCCACCACTTTTTCCAATCATTAAAACTATTGTTAAAATTGAAATCAATTTTGTTTTCCACCAAAATAGTTTTTACTTTTCATTTGCTTTCATAACGAGTAACTTATGTTTTAATATGTTAATTGATTTTTTCAGACATTTTGATCAAACTGTATGACAAGTGATCAAAAAATGATATAAATCTAAATATATTTCACATTTAAGTGAAAGTACTTTAATACCCATCAAATATACTAATCAAGGTAAGTCAGATTCACCACTTATTATACGTTATACATTACAGTACATTATGTACTTCGACTTTAAATCAAAATAGGAATCAATAATTATGTTGAAGGCCAGTAATGTTATTATTATCTATCTAGATATATAGTAA